GGAGACCCTCGGGGGTAATCAGACCTGCAGATAAACAAGAGAGATGCATTCAAGGATTCAAAACAAAATTACAAATGCTTCATCAAGCCTGCATGCATAAAAAATACCATCAATCAATCTCACTTCTGTTTGAATTAGTGGCGACGGGTTCGTATTTGTCCATCAGAACCTTGACCTGGTCCGGTCTCAGACGTGGATACAGCTCCTCGTTGAGCCGGGAGTCCCTCTGCTTCTCGTTGAGGAACTTGGTGAAGTTCTCCTTCGTCATGATGGGTTTGTTGGAGCTGCGGGTTACAGTGAAGGTGTAATAATCACATAAGTGCTGCATGTCATTTTAACATAAGCCGTTATTTTTGCTTTATGCTGCCAAATTTGCATATGTAGAAAAGCAAGAATCTGGCTTCATAACTAACTGAGCTTTTTCGAATAGGATTATTTAGATGCAACCCAAAAGGCTTTACAAAAAAAAGAGAAAAAATGATGATGATGATAAGACAATCATGACAAAATGTAGTTGTTTTGTTGAAAACTTGCGAAAGTCTCAAATCTTTTTTAACTAATTATAAGATTAATATGTATTATTTGAGCTACAGTAGGTGTGTATTAATAAAAACGTTTGGATATATGATGATAAACAGAGGATTATTCAGCAATATCAGCAGATAATCAGCGAAGCAAGGAAGAGGTTGACTCACTAACAAGTGAAGATCTCATAGATCTCAGGCCGAGGGCAGAGGTTTGTCAGAAAGGCCCTGAAGGCAGTCTCAGTAAAGACGTCAGGCTTCATGCTGTCATACTGAAATAAAAAAAACATGTTACCTACATCATTTCAAAATATGGTAATTTCTTCATCAAACTATCTAAACCACACTTTCAATACTTATGCAGAAGCCTGAGTTTGTCACATAAATAACAGTCAAAATCCACAACAAACAGAAGGCATTATCAGGAGAAGTGACAAAAAGTGCAGTAAAACTTCAGAGACTGAACCAACCCACAAGAATGTCAACATTTTCTAACCTTTCCCTTAGGGAGGTGTGCTGCTGCTAAGGCACTTTCCACCCTCTTCTTATCTGCAGGGAACATCTTGTGTACACTGAAAAAACCACAGTGAAACATTGAGTAGGAAATCTAGAGTACAAACTGCTCTGTTTGTCGAACTGTAACCTACTTTTTCACTGGGATCTTGCCATCCTTGTTGGTGTGAAGAGAAATGCGGACGTATCTAAGATCCAGCACACACATACCATTAACACATGACTGTCATACATGGTGAAATGAATTGATGCTGTGTTCGCAGTAAATTATACACGCAGAACTGTTGTGAAGTTCACTTACATTTTCTCCAGGAAGACTAGTCTGCAGGAATTGTTTCTTGCAGCGTTGTAGGCTATTGCAAGTATCTCATTTGCCCAGTTCTGATATGCATTTAATTACAAATACAAACAGGCATATTACATCCGATATCAAGATGAAATGTGCTTGAAATTTCATTATAAATGATTTTTAAATGGACAAACATATCACCACTAGAGGGCATTAATATAATAACAACACAGGAAATGAGAGAGATGAATGATGCATTTAAACAAATCTCGATTGTTATTTCATTACAGTTGAGGAAATCCGGTCATTGGAGTCATAAAGTCCAATAAAGACTTAAGGGGAGACAGAAGGCGCCTTATTTGGAGGAAGTAAAGGCTCAATGTGTAACAAGTAATGGCCTGTAACTGTGTTTGAACAATCAGAGAAAGAGAGGATTGTGAACAGCTGGAGGATGGACACACACACTGTCAGGGGCTTATTACCTGTGTCACCTTCTCCTTAGAGGCAAAGAAGTTATGATAGGTCAGATTCACCGTGTCAGGACCTGAGACCAGGGTCAGAGTTTTGGCGAGGTGGTTGCTGTCGGGGAAGTCCATGTTGAACACATTGCGAACCTTGCTGTGCTTTGAAAGGCAAAAAACAGAGAAGATCATAACCAATACATCACATTGGCTCAAAACACATAGTGTAATTCCTAAAGAAACACATGACCCACAAACAATCATTTGTATATCAATTGCTTACCTTGCTAAGGTTTTAAGAACATGCCATGGTGTAGGGAGAATACTCTTGAAGAATTGAAGTAAATGGTGGCCATGTTTAACATCCTACTATTTTATATACTTGGACAATATGAGTGTGTAAATGTTATAGTGAATGGTATGTGTTTGGAAATACATTTGGATTATACAGCATGAGTTGTATAAGATTTTGTTAATCAGTTTTCCTGTGATAAACGCAACCTCCATTTACTTCAATTCATTCATAATTTCCTCTGATTTTACTTCATGGAGGCATGACATACATTTCATGAGCAATTGATATGCAAAAGGGTCATAATGTGGGTGATAAATACTTTGAGCTGGTCATTCCTCATGTGTTCGCCCTGTTTGCTTTAAGAAGTAAAATCGTGTCTGCAGCATTTGTTCTCTGGTAGTTTGTTTGCAGGCAAATTTGCTGGCCAAGACATGCAAACATATGCACACGACACAAAGAGAAACACACTCATGTACAACACAAACAGGAGGAAGAACACCAGAAACATTGCTGTAGGTGCTACCTTCCTGTTTCTGCAACTTTACAATAAAACACTTCTTTGGTACTTTCAGAAGTTCAGAGCTAACGTCAGCGCTGCAGCCGCTGTCCCCAAAAAATCTGCTCTGGGGCCCCGGGGGAAAATATGTGCTTTCAATAGCAACACGAATGGGATGATGCATTGTTCTGTGTGCGCTCTCCCTGAGGGGAACACTTTACAAATGTCACCTCTGAACCCTCAGTGAGGGATGACGATGGCTGTGTGATGCTACTCTCTGTGGAGACCAGCGAGGAGCGGAACAAATAATACAGCTGTTAGATTTCCAAAAAAAAAAACTTCACTCAGAGAAATCTCAGATCATGACTCTTTGTGTGTGTGTGTGTGTGTGTGTGTGTGTGTGTGTGTGTGTGTGTGTGTGTGTGTGTGTGTGTGTGTGTGTGTGTGTGTGTGTGTGTGTGTGTGTGTGTGTGTGTGTGTGTGTGTCTTTATTTGTTTGTATATGTGTGTGTGTTTCTGTAGAAGGCGGGCAGCATGGGCGCCGAAGTCCATTGCTGTTTTTGCAATGCAAATATGCCATTAATACTAGTGGGCAAATTAAGGGCTTGACACCATTTACATGCCTGCACAGATTCTTACATAAGGCCCACAGCAGAGTTATTACATTAAAAATTAATAATACACTCACTTTGGGAAGTTTTGCATATTTTCCTGTTCTGGTATCTCTGACAGTAGCAACATCCAGGAACGTCGTCTCCTAGAAACAAGAAGAAGAAGTATTTTCATTCAACATGTACAAGTCCAAATATGGATTCAGACACAACTCATGTTTTGTCAAAATGCAACAAATATGGGATTGGCTTTGTTTGTGCGGAGAATATTAAGACTGCATTGTCAAAACATTACGTATACGTTACTGCCTTTTCGTACACATTTCCAACAAATGCTTTTAAGTCAACCGCAGAACATAATTGGGCCCAAACAGGCACACAGGAGACATTTATTTAATTGGCTTCACTGGTTTAGTAATGTGGTAGAAACCAGATGGGGCCCAAATGAGAGAGAGACCAAAAAAGAAAGACAGGAATGATAGAGACAAGGAGAGAGATGAAGCTTTCCTCTTCATCAAATGCATCACAGTGCAGTTGCAGAATGGTGAGCCCACATCAGCACCGATCAATAATCTCCACAAGAAGCTTGGACCTGATTGCAGCTCTTAGCTATCTCACAGCTTTGGCAGACGCAATCAAATACACATTACACAGATGTGGATTATTTGAAACATGACCACCTCTATTGATGGGTTGGGTTTGCATGATACACAAAAAAGCCATTTCATTTATATTAGCCACGGAATTGGAGTCAACTCTTTGACATTTTGTGCAAGGGCATTTTTGTTCTTTTTTGTAGACCCTGGATATTGATTACCTTGCTTTGGTTGACCCAGTAAACATAAAAACCTTTGGGATCCATCTTCATGGTGACAGGAAAGGTCTTTGTGGAGTCCTGGATGGAGGCAAGGCAATTAGCGTTCCAACATTTTGGACATTTATTGATTTGATTTATCATTCATGATGTAGGACTATTTTTCATACAACATCAGTGTATAAAGTTATTGTAGGATTTAAATTAAACTCACATCACTCAAAAGGTAATGAAAAATAAAAAGGCACATATTAGCATGATATTTTGGTATCAAATTATACAGCTCAGATTTTAAGATTTTTTAGAAATTTTAACTCACCTCAGACCACTTGGTGAATCTCTCTCCTTTCACCAAGTAGTCTTTGACCTCTGGATGCTCCAGAAAGTGTCTTTTCTTATTCATTTTGTCGTTCTACTTTGAGTCTTATGACAGCTCAATGCTACAACTGATCCACCATGGTCTTAACCATTGACTAGCTTATCCCTCCGTCGGAATTCAAAAGATAAACTAGTGGAGTTTAGTGCACAGCCTCCGAGAGCACCCGGGGCACACCCTGAAAAATATGCATTGCAAATTAGGTTTGCAAAAAACACGAAACCCAACTAAAGGTGAAAGTGCCGAATGTCAAACCCTAGATTGAGCAGTATCTGTTGACAGTATTTGAAAAAAAGCTAATCATAAACAGTAAATTCACCTGAATTACTAAAAGAAACCATCTCATTGTTTGTATTTTGTTTGATATTTCTATTTTTCCCTGTGGCAAGGGAGGAGAATGGATTTTTGCATGTGTTGCTTATTGCAATATGTAAACATAGTTATTATTAGAGTTATGATGGAATGATAAAATAGCCATTTATAAATAGTGGTTAGGCATCATTTCATAATAGTTCACATAAAAAAGTGTCTATACTCTTTGTTGTATCAGTCTTATGCCTCATCACATGGTAAGCTGTATAATGTGTGTTATTGAGCTGATGCCAAGTTCAGGAAAAGTTCAGAGAAGGCCTCAGGTTATAAAAACAGTTAACCTTTGTTTGTTAACTACTCCTAAGGATGTCATGAGATGATGACTTTTCAACATTTACAAGTATAGCTTTCAGAGAGAAAATCATGTGACATTTGTGTGGTAGGCTGCATGATAAAATCTGTGTGCCTTAAACATGCTTAGGGAAAATGTGTGTGTGTTCATTGCAGTGGCTATATATGCTGTATGATTGTTGCTACTGTTGGGGGGCATTTCCGCGATTGGCTGCTGTGGCAGCAGGTGATGTACTTCTCATTATTGTTTGGTTTGTTGCAACAACGAAATAATAATTACTGATCAGCTATATCTGTGTTTGTGCTTTATTGATTCCTCTCTGTTTCATTCTTTCCTGTTGTGAGTGCTAAATCGCCACAGCAACTTCCCAGCCCAGGCAGATACTTAACCTTGAGTTGCTCCCGATGGCATGGCGAACAGTGTGTGAATGTTAGGTCCTAGAGTAAGGTACACTGCTCTGTATGAATGGGTGTGAATGGGTGAATGACATGTAGTATGTAAAGCGCTTTGAGGGGTCTTAAAGACTGGATAAAGCGCTATATAAATACAATCCATTTACCATTGACCATTTATACTGTGGCTTGAGTAACCAAGACTTTTTATGGAAAGAGATGCCTCCGTTGTATTGAGGTGGAAGCAGATTTCTCACACATGTCTTAAAACCTGGCAGACATATCAATAAAAAGCATGGGTAGGGCTAGGCACCACTGGGGATAAGTGAGAAAATGTTTTTGGTGTATTTAGGGTGAACCCACCCTTTAATAAGTGATTTTCACACTTCCACTTTTTTTTTGCCATTTGCTGTCAGCATATCAGCCTTTTTTTTAACAGAATGACAAAAACTAAGTCTGCTTTGTTTTTATCAAATGACACTCCCTCGGTCCCTGGCGGTCTGAACGTTTGCATTAGATATTGGACCGTCTTGAGGTTTATTTGAATGATATCCAAATGACCGGGAATCCTTTGTTGAAACAGCAGGCAGAGTCCTGCCTCCAGCTATAAATGACACTGCGTTATGACCCTGTACAGCTGGTGGTGGTGGTATGATTTGATAAAATAATAAGCTGACACGTAAATAAAATCCAGGTGATTTGCTGTCATACTATAAAGCTGGGGCTTCCCATAGCAGCCATTTATTTACATTGAGCAAACAATTAAATAAAAGGTCAAAACAGGTTATGTTTGCAGAATTTATGTGAAGAAAAGCCTGCCCTTAGACTGTATCCATACTGGTTCCTCCATTTCTAGTGTAATTGTGTCACCGTTTATGTTGCCACCATATGGTAGAGCATATCACCCTGCTCCAAATCTCCATAACTTAAAACATAATAATCAAAACAAGCAGCCTTCCTATAAACACTTGAATTTGTGCCACAGGTACATATAGGCTGACAGCTAGACTTATAGCAGCAGGAATGTCTGCAGAGTCTAGTTTTGTGACAGCAAAAGCATGTTTTATTTTTTTGTGGCCGTCCTCTGTGTTTGTTATATTTTTTCTTCTTCTTGACATCAGTTTTTGTGACACTAAACAAAATAACACAGTTGGTTGTTAGATGCAGTGATATAAAAGAGAGTCGAATTCACTTGAAATAATTGTATTTATAAGATGACATATGTAGCCAAGTAGAAATTGATCTAGAGTCTAGACCAAAGTATAGCCTACTTTAAGTATGTTATTGGTATTTGAGTTATAATGATAACCAATGGAGTTCAAACATTAGACTATATAACATTATTCATTTTGTAAATTCATACTTCACTAATGCTATTGCCCCTGTGCTTAACCCGTTTCACCTCTGCAGCTTCCCAGAGGACATGCGCAATGACAAACCCTGGGCTCTGTCCATTGTGCTGAAATGAGGTTAAGTGAACCAGGTAGGATCAGGTCCAAAGTGATTACAAAATCTAATAGGTTTGATATAAAGTGTTATTTATGTGGCTGTTTCCAAAAGCATTGAAATATTAATTAATATCGGATTAAATTAAATGAATCACCACTTCATGGGCACAATTGTAACCGACATCCATTCCACTTGGGTGCGCACACTTTAAGGTAAACACACTGCAGCGTCCCCCTTGATCCCCCCCACTACAACATCCTGCTCTCCATGTGTTGCACAAGCGTCCTGATGTGAACATAATTTGTGTGTGTGTGTGTGTGTGTGTGTGTGTGTGTGTGTGTGTGTGTGTGTGTGTGTGTGTGTGTGTGTGTGTGCGTGCGTGTGTTTTTCTTTCATGCTTTCTTCTCGCTGATGCACAGCTGCTGCTTCTTTAAGAGCCACCGCCCGCCCCCTCTCCTGTATTTTTAGCTGAGCCATGCCACTTCATTTGCAGGATAAGACAGACAGTTGTGTACCGTGTGATCTCACTTAATCGTTTTTAATAAATCAAATCTTATGCTGCGTATCTGCCGTGGGCCTATGCAGACAGCTGTGTGTTGGACATGTCGCACAGGGTAGACATTGGTCCCGCCGCTGTCGGATGCTGAAACGCGCATCAGCCTGTGGATGCTGGATGTCCATTATGACACGCAGTACCGGTATCAGGGGCATTGCATTTGAGATCATAGGAATTACAGGATATCAATTTAAGCTGCAGAACAGGCTACTACACGGTTAAAAGAGGTCCGGCATCTTTCTGCTCAGCCCGCAGCTTTCTCTCTTCTCTTGGATTGTGGATAACAAGAAACCTTCAAGACGGAGGGGGTGGTGGAGCATCGAGGAAAAAACAGGGGCAATATGAGAGAGCGGGACTTCATGCCCAATATGGAGAGGGGCAAACCTGCTACTTACACGGGGGACAAAAAGGCTAAGATGGCTGCTAAGACTAACAAGAAGTGGGTGAGATTAGCCACTGTTTTTGCATATGTATTGTCCGTGTCATTAGCAGCCATTATCCTGGCGATTTACTACAGCCTGATCTGGAAACCAACCAGCTCATCCTCATCTGTGGGGAAGCCAGGGGTGCCCGGCGAGGTCACCCCCACCGCGAACATCTCAACTAACATCTCCAGCAGCCACAATGTGTCAGAGTGGAACTCCACACAGAATAATGGACTGCTAAACCAGACCCGGTATAGACGGGGCTTTCAGTGGGACGACAGAGCCGAGAGTGTGGCCGTGTCCGGGGCGGCGATTGCGCACTCGCAGCCGGAGGAAGGACTGTACGCATCTTCCCACGGTCACACACCCGAGGAGAGATCGGAAACTTTGGGGGGACAGACGGATCAACCCGGAGCGAGCCACTTCACCCCGTCAATCACCAGGGAGGCTGGGGGTGAGGAGGATGGGGAGGCGATTGACAAAATCGAGACTGATCAGGCGAGTGCAGATGTTCCTCCAACATCCGCGACAACCACAGCCGGCCAAAGAGGGGACTGATCGGGCCTCGTCCCGGCCACCACACCCCCCTGACACAGATAAACTGACCCTACAAGGAGTGTTTTACAGAATCGGTGCCGCAGGTCGGATAACACACACATTAAACTCATTTTGCAGAGCCTCTTATGGATGCTAAACTGCACCTATACTGACATCTTCTTCTAATGACTGAGAAAAGATGAGACCAGTGAACACTGTTTCCCCCTTCAACACTAACTATGCGTGTTTCTGTTTTTGTTTAGGCCATCCGTATGCCTTAAATCAATGTGTGTCTACTTTACCTCGGAAAGCTTCAGAAGCCACTAACCTGCCCGTATGCGTGGACAACACTGGTATATAATATGTTGTTAAATGAATAGGACACAGGAGCCAGAAATTTGTTTTTGCAGGACATACATATTCCCCACAGGCGATACAGCGCTTGAAATCACTGCCATTCACTGGTCTAGAAATCAATACTGCATTTTAACATAGGCTGTGTTTTATTTTTGTGGAACAAACCTGGATTCCAAGTAGAAGAACCTGCATTATTGAGTTATGCTCAGGTATGTGCATATAACCATGTAAATGTATTGTGTATTTGGTTATACATAAGAGGCAGGCATACTTCATTTGGGCCTTGATGAACTTTTAGTGTAATTAGATAATTTTTATTAAAAAAGGTACAGTATGTATGATAGGTATAACTATATCACAAGATACAAATAAACATCTTTAAAAAATAATGCTCTGTTTTATGAAAGATTGATGTACTGTAAATCATGACTACATTATTCTGTACGTATAATATTTTTATTTTCTCCGAGCCAGAATGGATGATATATATATATATATATATTCAAATAAATGTTAAGTTGTTTCCAAACCTCTTACATCAAATCTAAAGGGATTTAAATTAACTGTGGTGCACTTCAGACTATTAGGAAAAAAGTAATAGTGAAAAACCTTCATTTATTGATTGATATGAGGAGGTAGGAATAATAATGAACTTTTAATCAGATCACGGAGTGGAGGCACTTTAATCACCTGAGTGAATCGTCCAGTGTGTGATCAGAGGGAGGGATCTGCTCCTTGTGGAAAGAGAAGCATTCATTTCCCAGTGTGCCAGTTCAGTCGCTGCGTATCTCACTGAAACCACTTCACACAGTCACATGTGACGAACTATGAAGTGGAAATAAGACCAATCACCCCATGCGTCCTTCTCAGCAACATGTGAGGGAGGTGTATCGATTTGAGAGCTCTGTTGTTGCGCTGTACAAAACAGAGAAGAACACATTACACAATACCACTCGATGCTATTTTTGATCCAACTCTCTCTTAAAAGCCTGGTTTGGTTTTTATGCAGGCTAAAATAATCGTCATTCACTATCATGCTTAAACTAAAACCATTTGATATTGGCTGAGCAGCATCAGAAATGGTACACTGTGATGTAAACAGTGATGCACTGTTGTGTCAATATGACAGATTTTCAGAAAAGAAGCCAAGGTATGTGTCTGGTGAGCTACAGAGGAAGTCTATTCATCGGGGAAGACGGCACAAGACACAAACATCCCCCCATCTTTACATCATAAATCAAGTGTACCGGACAAATGTAATACAGAGTGTGAATTAAACAGCAACAGGCCTGTCAATACTGCAGTGGCAATGGTATATGAAGGTCGTGCCCGATGTGATACTGTGCCTCTTATGGCTCCTTGTGATATATGAGAGGAGAACGACCTATTGATGTCGGAGTTAATCAGCACTTAAGAGTTGTTCAGGACACTGCATGCGACCTCATGACCCAGGCAGGTGATTACATTATCGTCATCTGTTGAATTAGAGTGGAGTATGGGATTTGTTTCTAGGCTCAAGCCAGGCATCACATGGTTTTTCTTTAAACAGGTTTATTAAATTATACAAATATATTAAAGGCTGCAATACATTTTTAAACGTTGGCTATTTGATCATTAATAGCCACTTTAATGCCAGATTTGTCAAGAATGCTAAACAACTATCCACCAGAAAATCTACAGTGAGACGAAAGAGCCAATATAAAAAAATCCATACTCAAAAATGTTCACAATCATCAGCAGATAAAGTGTTAAACTCTTTAGTTATGTCATTTAGCACAGTATAGCTTAAACATCCAAGGGAAGTTACTAAAAGTGTTTGCTGTGAGCGGGGATTTGAAATTATGCTTTTGAAAATGTACTTTCCTCATCAGATTTTACATGCTTTTGGCATTCACACTATAGCCAAGAGACCTTAACAACAAAGCCGGAGTCCTTTTGTTACAATGTTGTTTGAGCAAGACACCATCAGAAAAGTTTTGCAATTTCAACAGGATGTCATGTGATATATGAGAACAATATGAAGGGTGCGAAACAAAAGCTAAACTGAAAGGGCAAAACTCTAGAGTGATGCATAACAAAACAAAAGCCAATGCGTTGGTGGGCATCTTTTTAGGTATTATGGTAATGTTGTTTCAAGACCTTTTGAAAATATCTATTGTATTAATTTTCAAATCATTGCTAGTTTTCAGCAGGTTGACATTATAATTATGTGCTTTTTTATGATGAAGGTGCTAAAGATATAAACGTATGTATATTCAAAATGAGAAAAAGGTATCTAATTATTGCAAAGGATGTAAACAATAACTACTGAGAAAATAGTTTAAGGTCAAAAGGTAATGGAGACTAGGACTTATGTGTCAGTGAGATGGCACATTATTTCTGGCTCATTTAGAGGCATATTTGAATAAAAAGGTCAAATAAGGTAGCATCAGTAAAAATACACACATTTCCTAATATTTCTTTACGCTTCAAAATACCTGAACGTTTTCAATTTATGTTGAAATATTTAATCTAAAACAAATTGCACTGTCAAATAATGTCAAACTGATTATCAAACATGTACTTACTAAAACATCACAATGGGACAGAAGGTTGCTTGCTTCCACTAAACTCTAACTAATCTATTCCTAAACAGAAATCCCAAACAGGGAGGTAATGAATAATTCTAACAAAAGGACAGATCTCAGATCAATATAGCAGACAGCACATGGACACCTTGTCAGCCCAGCCTCCTGTCTCCTGTCAGTGTCCCCTGGCTGGAGGGAGGGAGGTGGTGGTAGGGGGCCACACTCTGCATGATCAGGCCAGCTGATGTTGTTGTTGTTACATCCTGAACCATGGCAGGGCCGGGGGATGACGCACGACATCAGTGGGTCTGCCAATCTTCTGTATGAGATTCTGTGATGGGACACTTCCACTTAACCTACATCCATCAACTGCAAAAACACACCCCACTGAGATTATGGCAATTAAATGGCCTCATAGACCATGGGAAATATCTTTATAGCAATTCAGATTTCAGCTTAAAAGTTGTCAATTTGAAATCAAGAGCATTAATATAGTATCCACAACTATTTGCTATTTCATGTTAAAGTGCAGTAATGTTAACCTGAACAGAGAAGCAAGTCGCTCTGCCTCGTCCTTGCTTTGTTTACATAGCCAGCTCAAAGCCATGTTGGTTAGCAGTAGCACATGCATAGCTAGCTTACCTCCACTGTGAATATTGGTGGTCACGGAAAATTCCCGAACAAAGGCGTCTTTGCGAAAACGAAACGGCCATTCTCTAGTTCCCCCTCAGGTAAACTTGTGTTACACTCTGTCTGTCGTTGCGGTTGTTTGCATTGTTAGCGCTGTTAGCACCTTTAGCCGCTAGCCGTCAGCTCAGTCGTAGCCATGGTGAGAGCCGTTTGGAGGCAAGCCTTCTGCTACTTTGAACCTTTAACACTAGAACCGCCAACGGGTAAATTTTACCCGCAGCTGTTTCTTTTATTGTATGTAACTTTTTTTCCATAACATATTAAAGTCTCCCAGTCCGTGACTTTTCCTGAAAGTGTGTTATATACCACCCTCTGTTGTTAAAAATTGTCAATAGGAAGTCAGATTGAAAAAATCGCCAAATAAATTGCCATTTATACCCATATCCGCCAGCGGGTAATATTTACCTCATAGAAAATGCAGCGTAAACATGACGTGTTGCTATAGCAACGCCTTTTGTCTACTGCGGTTCCTAGATAGATAGAGAGATAGATAGATAAATAGAGATAGATAGATAGATATATTGATAGATGGATAGAGAGAGAGACAGATAGATAGTTATAGATAGTGTAACATCTTGGAGAATACAAGATCTTGGATGACTGAGCTCACGTTGAGGACGTAATGCATGTGTGCAGGTTACGTGCCAGTTGAATAAAGATGGACACTCGGAATGAGAGAAGTAGTCCGCGTCGTCTGTTTATGTAGACAATTATATGTCCATAGAACANATAAGATACGTGTGCATGTTTGGGTGTTTTAACACTCCTGTAATGTACCTAATCTTGTTATCCTTTTCATTACAGAGCTGGGTGATACGCAGAGTGAAGCAAGTAGGACCCAAATGCAGATAACATTTGATAATACCTTTATTTCAAGGTCTTGAGTAAACCTGGAACAAACAAAACACTCTACGGTGAACTAAGTCACGAACAAAAGAAGCACCAACACTGAACACAGGAGGAGACGAGACTAAATACAGGGAGGGGTAATAACTAGACACACCAGGGAAACTAACGACGGGAGGAAAACACAGGGGAAAGGACCAGACAATAACCCAGGAGAAAAACATGACAGCAAAACCCAAACATACAAAATTACCAACGTGACATAACCCTAGGAGTGTGACAATTCCAATGGTCTCTTCCACTTCCAATGGAACAAATATTTAATTTATAAACTAAAAGATGACCCTATTACCACTCTCAAATTGTTATAAAAACAGTGATAATATCATTTAGCTATGGCTGCCAAATATATGATGACGCACACAGAACAAAACTCATATTGTCACTAAAGTGTGTATGTGGGGAGGAGGCTGACGGGATTTAACTAGCATGCTTGGAGCTGAGTATAAGTGAGGAGGGGAAAGAGCAAGTGCTTCAGAAAGGGCGAGAGGGAGTGAGGGAGCATATGTGCAGGAGGGTGGGAGGGTGGGAGAGGGAGCACGAGCGGATGGGTGCTGTGCAATCCGTAAACAGGGGAGCTCTGAGCATTTGTTAGACGTCTTGGCTGCTTGCCCAACTTGGCTCATTGTAATCGAGGCATGATCATCGACTCCAGGCAGCCCTCTCTGCCGCCCCGGCTGCCTCTCGTCTGGACCCTGCCCAGCTCTCAGCGCTGACATGGAAAGACCTGTGAGTGCCTTCCCTCTCCTTCTCATCCCACTCTCTCTCTCTCTCTCTCTCTCTCTCTCTCTCTCTCTCTCTCTCTGGTGTTAGGTTCCCCCTATTCCTTTTCCTCTGTCGCAGATGTAGCTGTGGCTACATGCAGCGTTTCTCTTTCTCTCCCTGCTGTAGCTCCTTTAGGTGGCAGGAACGCTGGGTATGGAGTAAGCCTTGGCAGCGTTCTCCCTGCAGGGCCCCCTCCCTCTGCCTGTCCTGGGCATGGGTGCTGTCCGCTGGCAGACCCACAACGTCTCTGTGTATTTTGTTGTTGCGTGTGTTTGCGGCACAATCACAAGACTATCCGGCAGAACCCAGAGGGGTACCGTGCCCTTGCAGAGTATCCCCACTTCAGTTTGTGGAGGCCGGGGTTTACTTCATAGCCATTGGCCTCGCTGAAATTTAGATTGGGCAGCCGGACTCTCCCTTGCGCCTATTCTTGGTGGTATGTCCTCATGGTGTGTTGTGTTTGGATACCCTGACAACTAGAAGCTGTGAGGTAACCACTTTTCAGCCTGACACTTCTCTGAGTGAGTCCCAACTTCTGCTCACGTTGTCTTTCCAGGCTTGACACAAAACTGCATTCAGGATGTGTAGTTTGCTATTATAGTTAAGGCTGTGCAAACACATTCAACATCTCAGTGTCAGCTAATCTTTGTAGGCGTAACAAGGGCAACGCTGGAAAAATGCACTGAATAATTTCTTGTCAGTGCCAATGTGTTGGTCTTCGTGGGCTAACTAGCTGTGAGTCATCATTCTGTGTAACATCACATCGAAGCTGCCTTGACTTTTTCGTCGTCACTGGGGGCAACAGTGGAGATAGACTGACTTGTTTTGGCACATCTACTTCCTGTCTCTGCCGAGAAGATCTGACCCTTCTAAAATAATTCCTACAAGAGTGTGGAGAATGGGATACATCGAGTGAAATATGAGTTTTCACAGTTTCAACAACCCGAGTCAAAACGTTTCTATTGTCACTTCTTCTCAGCTTTAGCTAACAACAGTCAGTGATCCATTATTCATTCGAAGTGGGAAATACTTGTTTTAATTGAGTCTACATTTTAACAATGGTTTTCATTTATTGGGTATTATCAGTGCTGTTGTTGTCTGCTGAATGAAAACTTTATTACTATATGAGGAGAGATGCAACCCCTTAGTCGCTGGCTTACAATAATCAAATTCATAACTCTTTTTCCATCTTTTCAAAAGGTTTGAACTTTGAACATGTTTCAATCTATCACATAACTTTTTGTCAAGAACGGGAGGGAATTATTACTAAAATTGACATGTTTGTGCATTTTCCAAGCTTAAACGATGAGATGAGCCAAAATAAACCATCTGCTTCTGAAGATAAATGTTTTTCTCTGTTTGTATCATCTCATTGCCTGGGGCATGTATTTATGAAACAACATTTATATGAAGTAAGGAATTATTGTGATCAGTCCTCGTGCTGGCATTTCAACCTGGTGTACTAATTTAAAGGATTAATTCAACCTTTTGGAATATGCACTTTCTTGCCAAGTATTAGATGAGATCCAGACCACTCTTATGTTTGTAAGTTAAGTTTGAAGCTACAGCCAGATGCCAGTTAGAACTGCAACGCCAACTGTTTTTATAATTGATTAGACCTTAGAATAATGTTTCCCTTTAAAGAAGATTGTCTGCATTTTCTCAGTTTTCTATAATATCATACTTAATATCTATGAGTTTTGGACTGATAAAACAACTTTATTTTAAAAACTGGAGAAGATATTTGAATCAACCCAACAAATAATCTAGAAAATAATTAGCATATGAATTGATAATGAAAATGAGTTGCAGAATTCTAGTTATCTCTGGCCGTTTTGTTGCATCTCTGACATGTCATTAATATGATCCTATAGTAATTCTTAAACCTCATGCTGCAGAAAGGAGCCCCTCATAAACCAATCTCCTCGGACATGTGCCTCTTTAGTAGCCAGTTAAAGAAACCCTTAGGCACCCAAAGAATATACAGACCAATATCATTCATGTGCTGCAGGCAAAAGGAAATGACTTGGGACATGGTTAATGCCTCACCGTTATCATTCTGTAACAATATCCTTATCTTTAATATCAGTGCACATTTCTTAACTCAGCACCTCTCTCTCACATGTTGCAGATGGTACAGTAAGTTAATGAGGGTCCTTTATGAAGGGAAGTGTTAACACACACCTGGTTGCTGCTCCATGAGAGAGATTATCAGTATGGGGCCTCTTGTCGTGTGAGTAGGCCTGCCCTGCTGACCACATTGCGATTTTTAGGACACTCCGCATATGCATTCTCGCCCTGTAACCGAGCTCTGTAATGAATGCTCCATCTGTGGTTGTTGTGCGGGTGTGTTTGTGCTGTGTCTGTTATCACGGCACCCTTAGTGGTGTATTGAAAACCCTCAAGCACTGTATTTCTTGGCTTCTTTAATCAAATGTTATGGACTATTACCCTAGAACCGATATGATATCCAAAAGCTAAAAGTTACAAAAGGTCTGTGATATGGCAATAGAGAAAAATTGAAATGTGTTAAAAAGTGAAATGTGAATTAACTTTTTTATTGTGTCAATGATTTTTTATGATCGGATTTTTTCCAGGCCCCCAGTGACATGATGCCCAAGAGGGATCATGAGAGGGACCTGGAGCTGGACAGGAAGATCGAGGCTCTCCGCAGGAAGAATGAGGCGCTCATGAAGAGGCACAAGGTAAGGACAAGTGCCTGGAGGCAGAGTGGCTTCTGAATGCAGCTCGTGCAGGCTTCCTTATTATTCTATTGTTTTCATTGACTTTCATTTAGGAAGTTGAAGAGGACAGGAAAAGGGCAGAAGAGGAAGGAATTATGCTGCAGAGCCGAAAGGGCAAAGCTGAGGACCTTACCATCACAATCAGCAAGACCACCAATGTGAGTTTGTTATAATGATGTGACTGATGCTATTGGTGCACACAGTCTCATTTAGTCGTGAAAACAAGATGCCACAAACACTGAGAATATTTTTTTTCTTTGGTATGAAGCAGGATAGTCGGGTTGTGGTGAAGAAGCCATTCAGCGGTGGATCACCAGCAGGTAAAGGACAGGAGGAGGCCGGGCCCAACATGGGAGAAGAAGGCCCTCCGCAGGGTCCCAGCCGGGGCCAAAGGAAGCAGCTAATGGTCACCATGGCTGGCAAAAAGGTGAATACACCTCAGTGCCATTGTTTTCCACTAGGAGTTAACAGCTCTTTTGAACCACAAAATCTAAATGCTAACTTCTGCATGCTAACATGCTCACAATAACAATGCTAAATAGTCTTTATCATGTTTACTATATGAGTTTAGCCTGTTGGCCTGCTAACATTTGCTAGTTAGCACTAAATAAAACTGATGCTAGAATTGAGGGGGGGGCAATAAGTGTGTGCGTGTGAGCGTCTGTGACACTGCATTTTATATGAGTAAAGACATGTTTACAATATGTTAGGAATGGGGGGGAATGTATTATTCAACTGTTATCCTGTTGAATAATGATGATGCTTGATTACATTGTAGGGTTTTGGTAGCCCTTTCACAATCCTTTGTCCACATGCCCATTGCTACAGTACTGATACCCTAATAAGAGTGTGTGTCTCTCTAGGGTAAGAGAGTGGTGAGTGAGAGGCCAGAGAAGAGGCCGGGTTCTGCGGACGTAAAGAGCCCTGCAGATGACGGACAGACGAGGCGTGTGGAGTCGTCGGGGAGGGTGAAGCATCCACCTCACATGACCAAGAGGGACACGGCAGCACAGGTGGGAATCAGTCAGTTATCATACGCTCCAGCATTTTAAACCCCGCCATGCACCCTCCAGTGTGTCCCCACTCTCTCAGCCCCCCTTGTTCATCCTCTCGTGCTGCACTGATGTGTTTTACATAGATGTCAGACATATCGGCTGGCCACACCCCTGCAGTGATGGAGCACAATGGTGTGTAGACAGGAGGTGGACTGGAGCAGTGACGGACTGGTGTGGGATTAACGGGGAGTGGGCTAATAGTTAGTTTATGTTAAGTAGATGCACGGTAGATCCTACATATCAGTTTCAAGGCCTACTACTTTTGCGCAGTCTTATCCTAATCCTAATTACAGCTACAAAATAACTGTTATTTGCATATTTCCTTTCCGTTATTTATCATTTTTATCTACAGGATATTTTGTAGATGAATCGATGAATCATGCGGTCTGTAAAATGTCAGAAAACCGGGAAAATGTGTCTTGTATTATCAATACAAAACCCAAACATATTACGTTTAGTATGATTAAACAGAGAAAAGCAAAACAAATATCCTAATTTAAGAGGCTGAAAACAGCATTACTGCCGTTTTGGGAGAAAAAGTAACTTTACTACTGATTATCTTATAATGAAAACAGTTTGTTTTTCTATCGAATGACAAATTGAAATATTGTCTAATCGTTAAAACTAATGATTTTAATCAGGTGTGATGGTTCTTTATGTTCTTCTTCCCCTATGAGCGGCTTTTATTTAGCCATTGGGCGTATGGATCAGGCTGTAAGTCCCTCCAGCTCTTGCAACACAGTTCCTTGTTGTTTTGTAGTATGAGATCAGAGACGGCATGTTTAACATCAATAGCTTCACTATATACTGTAGGTCTCAGATCGCATGTGACATGTTGTGCACAATGCAGATAGGCAGAGACACATGTACACATGCAGTGTCCCTGGTAGGGCTGTGATATACCAAACTGTCATTGACCTTAGGCCCCCCCCGGGTATGCAGAAACCGAGGAACAGCTGCTCTGCTTCAGTCTGACACACACACACACACACACACACACACACACACACACACACACACACACACACACACACACACACACACACACACACACACACACACACACACACACACACACACACATACACATACACATATGCAGTGTGTGTGTGTGTGTGTGTGTGTGTGTGTGTGTGTGTGTGTGTGTGTGTGTGTGTGTGTGTGTGTGTGTGTGTGTGTGTGTGTGTGTGTGTATGTCTGTCTGTCTGGGGTACACCCTGGAAATAAATAATAACTGTGCGGGGTGTGGTGTATTTGGCAGTGTCCCAAGCAGATTGTAATGCCTGGAAGTACCCTGTGACTAGACTGTCAGTTCACACTCATAAGAGAGAGACCACAGAATAGGAAAAGTGAGGAAAAACAAGCTGGGGGGTGAGAGAGAAGGGGAGAGACCCCTGGCAGCTCGCTATAGCTGTTTCCAGCCTCCATTTCTCCTCTCTGGAACCTTTAGTGGTCTGCCTTCCTCTGGCACGATTGTTTCCCCATTCCCACCATCCTGAAAGGACCGATTTGATCTAATTAACATTCGACTGCCTTCTCACTCTGAAAAGGCTCATTATGCTGCCAAAGAGACAGGCCTGGCGAGGTGCCAGGAAAGGATCAGAGAGGGAGAGGAAGAAGGAGCGAGAGTAGAAAGAAGTAACAAGGTGGACAGGACTCTTTTGTGTTTGTGCATAAGCCCGGCTGCATTTGGGTGGTGTGGGTAGCACAGTGTGTGCACCAGACCATGCTGTCCAGCATTTATTGTCATCCCCCTCCTCGATTGTTCATACAAGTGTTGCTGTTAATGGCAACATGACTCATCCAATGTGTTCAATGGAGCAGTCAGTAATACACTTCAATCAAAATTCACACAACTCTCTACCTGCAATGAGATGAGTTTCATTTTCCAAACCACTGAAATGCATCCACCTGCATTCTGCTATGATGACCTCATTGCAGAAAGGACATTTAAAACTGAGACACAGAAGTCATGATGTAGCACCATGAGTCCACATGGGGGCAGTGTAGCTCTCTTAATCTAGGTTAATCGATGAGTCTGTGCTCTGGCCTGATGTGCTTTTACTGTTTATTGCAGCAGTAATGTGACTCTTTACATCCATGTTCAATTGGCTGGCGACAGGTTGCTGTGTCACCTTTATTGTTGTTATGTTCAACTTCCTTATTCTTTTGTGTCTCTCCTCTCTGACAGGATGAAGTTAAACAAGGGCAGAAGCACGCTGAGGAGCATCAAAGGCTTTCAGAGCAGGTACCACAATGCCTCCGTCGACATAAAAGAGCAAAGCCTATTAACGAGCATATTTTCACGATCTCTAGCACATACCCTTCCTAGGATGTGAGATATTATTTGCCGGGTTTCCACACAAAAAGACAAAGAAATGCAAATACACACTTTACCCTCCTCATCACAGTTCCTCACAGGGAGACAGACACGAAATGTTGGCACGCACAACCTCTATTTCTAGAGCTCATCCCCATCTGGCTCGCATGTTAACGTCGCTGGAGTTTCTCAGCTGTCTCGTAGATCGTTTGTGCGCCAAACATGAGAACCAGGGAGGCAGGGAAGGTGGGCTTCAAAGGCCCGCCGAACACACCGCATGACAAGTGATGCTGTTCATGCCTCTCTGCACCTTGCCTGCTCTGCAGCCCGAGCTGAGTCAGTGCTCAAAGAAAATACAAAGCTGAGTTTTTGTCAAGGTGTTGTGTAAGGGGTAAGGGTCAGACAGCGCTTTGCTTTTGTTTGCTGCTTTCTTTAACAAATGTACCAGAAACCTCTCCGGCCTAAACCAGAGCAGCTTTAAATGGAAGACATTCAGTAGTTGAGAATAAGAGCATTATTATTTAGCATGTACCAATCTACCTAAAATCAGCTCCATCCACACTCACTGTGCAACGTCCAGCCTACCTGCCGCGGCCCCCCAACGTAAGCGAGAAAATGACAAGTGCTAATTAGCAGGGCGGCTACTGTGTCAGCCGGAGACGGCCTGTTGGAACATGCGAGAAGCTTCCTCCCCTGTGGCCCCATGATGTCCTCCGGGAGGGGAGCAGAGGAGAGGGCGATGGAAAGCAGAGGGATGAGTACAGTACGCCAATAACTGTACAACATGTTTACTTAGCTGTGATTGGTCCACACCTGAGAAGAAAACATCACGCGTCTTGGTTTCTTACCAGCCACTGTGCTGTTTCTCTTTGTGTTATGAAATGCAGAGTGTTTTCCATTTTACACACACGATTCTAATGTCTCAAGACAGCAACATAATTTGCCTCCTGCTGTAATACAATCTAAACACTGATGAGCACTGATCGCCCGTCTTTTGCGTGATTTCCCTCGGAGTACAGCAGTGCCAAGGGCTTTGTTAAAAGAGCACACAGCCTCTGTCCCCTTTGATGTGATAAAGAGCCTGCATCAGATCTCTCTTTAGTATTAGCAAGCAATCCTTTCTGCTCTCATCGCAGTAATCAACAAACAGGTTAAGAGGGGAATGGAAGAGGGGGACCTAATTACATTTACAGTAGCCTACATTGCACTTTTCCTGGAATATTGTCTGAAATAATGGGATTTTGTTGCTTTGCAGTCGCCACAGTACACAAACAAGAAGCTTTTTCTATCAAATGGGAGCTAAGTGGAATGTACCGACACTAAAAGGCCATCACCAGCATTACAGTGACTCAGCTATGCGCGTTAACAGTAATGTGGAATGCATGAAAACAATTCAAATACAATATTGGTTCCAAACTGATCTGTTTGAAGCTGTTCTTGTTTATGACCAGCCAGGCTTCATTTCTCTGATTAGTGAGTAGATTGATGCTTCTGATGTATTATATCAAGGCACTCAGAGTGGTGCAGGTGTTTAATTCCGTCGCGTTTCAATGCCAGGGCTTCATTACTCCCAAGTGTTGAGTAATATGATATTAATCCACATTCAGTGTGCATGTGTTATGCATTTAACACAACTAAACTGCTTTGTGTCTGCTAAGGAGCCTGAGAGCCTGCAGGCCAGCACTGACCTTAACATCCCCACGTCGAAGGAGGAGCAGGAGGGGTATGCGCGATGGAAGAGAGAGCGCGAGCAGATCGACAAGGAGCGAGTGGCACGCCACAAAAACTCCAAGGGCCAGTGGAGACGGGCGTGGGACCTGGACAAGACTGATTACATGTAAGACTCAGTCTCAGCTTTCCCCAGGCTCTTCATCTGAAAATGTCTCAGATTTCCTACAGTTTCGCTACCGTGTGATATTTCATTGGCTCCTTATATTTCTATGATGGGTAATTCAGTTCCAAGAATATTTTTGGAACATTTGAATCGTCTGGAGCTTCAAATTCACACTCATCTTTCAAATAGTCTTTGAGCAGTTGGTAGTTGAGACGTTGTTATTTGTTCTGTTAGGAATTGGGAATCAATCCCTTAGATAAACACTTTTTTATAAAAAAGATAATTATTTATGATTTCCTTTAACTGTGCTATCTTGTATTAAAAAAAGGGGTTAGTTAACTTTTTGGGAAATTTGCATATTCATTTTTTGCTGGAACATAATGCAAAGATTGATGCCTCTCATGTTTGTATTCAAACATCTAGCTTAGCTTAGCATAAATATTGCTAGCAGGATGAGTACTGTAAACTGCTTGCATTGCACTATTCAAAGGTCACAAATATTTCTACCAAATACCTCTAAAGCTCCCAATGTTATATTTTATATTCAGTTTTTTCAATCTGTACAGTAATGCAGAAATGAAAAAATGACAATTTGTGGTTTTACAAAAATGAATTCTGGGAGTATATATTTTTTTATTGCGCCGTTTCATTTAAAACATTTAAACTTGTAGACTAGGTTTTTTTTCTTCGTTTTTCTTCGCATGGCTTTGTTCAGACAAAGCCATGCTAGTTAATTCCCCTACTTCTCGCATGATGCTAAGCTAAACTACGCTAACAATGTTACTGTGTTATCAGACAAACATGAGTGTGGTTAGGTATCAATCTTTTATAGTTCTCTTCTCAAGTCTCTGCAGGAAAATAAATAGGCGCATTTCCCCAAAAAAGGCTTACTATTACTTTATTAATTAGCGAATTAAAAAAATACGCTGCAATTGGGTACAAATTATCTTATTTTGGAGTGCAATCAAATTGTGTTTCAATCTTGTTTTTCTTCTGAAGCTGCTGAAAAGCTTCATTCACTTTCAGTGCAGATGTAAATAACAAACAATTTGAGCTTGAAGAAGTTCCTGTTTCTTTCTATATTAGTCAGTGGAGGAATCCATTAGATGAGGTTCTTGGAAACTACATTTCCTCCCAAAGGACCACAAGACTAAATCTCATTAAGTCACAGGATGTTGCTAAATTATTGTGTCACTAAATAATCAGGCAAATTGAATCATGATATATTCTATTTGGTAATAATATGTTAGCCTAACTATTTGTGCGTTCTCATTTTGTGAACAGTTTTTGAAAACGCACATTAGCAACCTAAACTGACTGGAGGAAAGAAATGCAGCACATTCCTGTCAAGTGTTTGTTAGATTTCAAACAAAACAAGCTGTTGTACACAGAGTTACAGAGAGAATAATGTGCTGTTGAAGGAAGCTTCGAAATGTAAAGAGACAAGGGAGGAACGGCTATTTTTAGTTCAGGATAAGGGATGGAATACCTTGCCTTATTTGGCGAGGCCATAACAAGGCACTGGAGTAAGAATAGAAGAGGAAATGTGTTTTTTATTCAACAATATAAATGGCTTCACTGCTTGTAAAATACAAGGGTGTTACTCATGGAGTAAAAACCTCTCACTGATCCTGCAACACCTACAATTCTCATAATGTATAATAATGACACTTCAATGTCAGAAGAGGCTGCTGGTGGGATGGATTGGCTGTTATGTCACCTGGACTCCATTGGTTTAACGGAAACCTCCTCTTTTAGGTTTTCAGACAAATCCATCCCTGACTGGGGGCCTTCCAGCAGAGGTGAGACATTCACACAGGCAATACTGAAAACGTGTTATAAGACCTTTCCCCACACACTATGAAGATAACATCATGTGTTTCGTTATATTGGTCTTGTTATCTTATTTTTTCTTATATTTAATCCATG